ACAAGTGTCAAAGAACTTTGGCTCACACATGTCATGGAGACCAGTGTGGGCTGACTGGGATAGCGAGGGATGGCTTTGTATAGAACGTGGAGCATGACCTGGGTGTTAGGAATAACTGGGGTCTGAATATGGCACCCAAGAATGGCAGGGGCAAGACAGGTTGCTGCAAACTGGCTGGGCACCTACTCTAAAGTCTCCAGCAACAAAACCTGAGGAATAGAAAAGAAACTCCAACTTTCTCATCCAAGGCTTGATTCTTTTCTACTCTGCCCAGGATTCAAACAAATGACACAAATATTCTTCTCTCTCAAAACTGTCTCCAGCTACGGCTAAGGTTTCAGTTCACAGAGACCAGGCATTTAGAATTTTTCCTTCTAGTTGCAGGTGCCTGTGGAAGCTGAGGTCCTGTCCCTCAGTCCCATCCATGTTGTGCAATTCACTACAGTCCTGCAGGAACAAGGAACAGGGCCCTACGAAATAAAGTCTTGAAAGAAGATTTCATTTTAGTACAGATTGCTATAATTCATTATATCTTAAAAGTTGGAACAGATGATTTCATCTAGCATCATTTTTGGACAGTGATAATAGCAATACAAACATATGTAATGCTTACTATTTGTCAGTTGCTGTTGTAAATCCTTTATCATATTAACCTTTTAACCTTTAAAACAACTGTATGAATTAGGTGTACTATTATGTCCCCATTTTACAGACGAGAAAACACAGGCATGCGAAAGTCAGATAACATGCTCAAAGTCACACTGCTAGTAAGTTACAAAGCTTAGATTCAAACCCAGGCAAGCTGGCTCCACAATCCATAAGCTCTTTGTTAGGTCAGATTAAAAAGTACCTTTAAAAAAGACAAATTCACAACACTGAATGAATTCAACATGCAATCAAAGATTATTATCAACGACCATTATAACCTGGCCAGATTGTAGACTATCACATCATAAAGGACTCTGAACAAATATTTCTAATTTTTCCCAAGATGTTAGCTCTGGAAGGACTCTCAGAGGTCATCTGGACCAGGGACAGCAAATGGTCAGCAGGCCCCTGGCACCAGACCCACCGGCAGCCTCTTTATGTAAACAGTGCAGGATTTTAAACATATTTTTAAAATATAAACACTTTAAGGCGGGCACTCCCCAACTTTTCTCAGTTCCCACCTCTTTGCATCGCCTTATGTTGGGCTTCTCCATACATCCAAACAACTGTCTGGCTCAGGCTTGACACCCCTGCTCTGGTTTCATCCCTTACCTTGCTCAGGGACAATATCGACCCCTTTCACCAATCTGAGAATTCTTCTCTAATGCATTACTGAGGTCAAGAGTGTGAAAAGTTGAGGAGGCTTGGGCAGGTTCCCAGGGCCAAATCCTGGCTTCTGCTCATCACGAGGTTACTTTGCTTTCTCTGATCCTTAGTTTCTTAATCTATAAAATGGGGATAATAATAAAACACTTACCTAGTAGGTTTATTAAAGGTAATGAATTATCTTGGACTCGGAACAGCACCAGGCACATAATATGTACTGTAGAGGTATAGCTATAATAAGAATAATAATTATTGTTTTAAAAATTATTATCACTGACTAAGCACTAATCATTTTTCTGTTATAATTACTGAAAAATACCATATGAGAAAGATGAAATTTTTGCTTCAACCCTTCTACTAATTGATTATTGAATCATGGTTAAGAAATTTTGTGGAACTCTTGGCCTAAACCAGGTTCATGCCCAGATTACCAATATTTACTTGGAAGCTGTTAATTAATTCACATTTTTGCTGCCTATCTGGAAATTTCCTTTACTTACAGATTTGCTTACCAAATATTTCAATTATTATTCTTTTTGAGACAGAGTCTTGCTCTGTCACCCAGGCTGAAGTGCAGTGGCACAGTCTCAGCTCACTGCAACCTCCACCTCCTGGGTTCAGGCAATTCTCCTGTCTCAGCCTTCTGAGTAGCTGGCATTACAGGTGTGCGCCACAATATGCGGCAAATTTTTGTGTTTTTTAGTAGAGACAGGGTTTTGCCATGTTGGCCAGGTTGGTCTCATACTCCTGACCTCAAGTTATCAACCTGCCTCAGCCTCCCAAACTGCTAAGATTACAGGCCTGAGTCCCTGCCCCCTATTTTTTACCTTTTAAGTTCAGGGGTACATGTGCAGGTTTGCTATATATGTAAACTTGTGTCATGAGAGTTTGTTGTACAGATAAATAAAATAAAATAAAGAAAATAGACACTTTTGTTTCCCTCACAGGGAAATACAAACAAAAAAGACAAAATAAATTGAATTCCAGGTTGGGAGCAGTGGCTCATGCCTGTAATCTCAACACTTGGGGAGGCCAAGGTGGGCATATCACTTGAGGTCAGGAATTCGAGACCAGCCTGGCCAATATGGCAAAATCTCGTCTCTACTAAAAAACACAAAAATTAGCCACATGTGGTGGCACACGCCTGTAATCCCAGCTGCTTGGGAGGCTGAGGCAGAAGAATCGCTTGAACCCAGAAGCCGGAGGTTGCAGTGAGCTGAGATCGTGCCACTGCACTTTAGCCTGGGTAACAGAGAGAGTCTCCCTCTCAAAAAAAAAAAAAAAAAGCGTTTGCATAAGTTGTGTGACAAAACCAGGCCTGACATCTCCACTGGTTTGGATCAGCACCAAGCTGCCAGCTCAGACCTTGGAGCAGAGACACTACCCAAGAATTGCAGGAGGACCCCTCTTCTGGAAACCTGTCTGTTTTGGCAATCTACAAAAAGTAAAAGATGCTGTTTGAAATGTTTCCTTAGGGGCACGAATTTTAAACCCACCTCAGACTTTTTTTCTAGGAAGTGAGCATTTGGATTTTCATCTGATCCTCCCCAGAGCTGTCCATATGGAGTGTAACTCCTGGTGCTGGTGAGGATAAAGTTCTACGTAGAGGTTCTCCAACCACAGCGCGGGAAAGGACTAGGGCATTCCCACAGGGTGTGGCCAGGAAGGCCGAGGCCCTGGAAGTCCCCTTTGTTCATTGTTGCTTTTGCAGCCCAGTCATCACCCAGGAGACTTTTCTTTCTTCAGTGCTGTGTAAATCATTTCACAGAATGGTCCTCTCTCCACCCAACCCCCAAAATAGAATTATAAGTAACATGTTGATTTTTCCCTTGAATTCTATCATTACCTTAGTTTACTTTCAGAAGGAATGTCTGGCATGTCGCCCGCTTTCAAACTCACTTATGATAAAAACTGAAGCACTGGCTGTTAACATGCCAGCAATAGACAGGGCTGTTGGTCCCTGTTCCCTGCCCTTTAAAAAATCTCCCCAGAGAGTTCTAATTATGTCAGCATTCACATTACAAGTTTAACTGTAAAATATAGCAATCAGGAAAAAAATTTTTTAACTCCCCTTTGTTCTTAATTGGTAAAGGAAAATGTCCATAAATGGAAATGGTTCAGTGTTTCCTGGATCGTCTGGGTAAATTCTCTGAGGCTGGCTGGACTCCAGAAAACAATGTTCTCTGAAGCAAAACCCTGGCTGAAGTGGCAAGCTTCCATTTTATGCACAAACGTATGTGGTGTGCCCACAGCTAGTTTTCAGAGAGCGATAGAGGCCAGACCAGAACTAAAATAATGCCTTTTATTTATTAAAGGGACATAATCCTTTTTCTGTGGTTGGCTGGTGGTACACCTGGGCCAGAGATATGGTGAGAAATCAACACATGAAGAACTTCATTTGCATCTTTTTTGGTGTAGCTATTATAGACAGAAATATTTAAATCAATTGTTAGCTTAACAATACAAAAAATGAGGCCAGACACAGTGGGTCATACCTGTAATCCCAGCACTTTGGGAGGCCGAGGCAGGCAGATCACAAGGTCAGGAGTTCAAGACCAGCCTGACCAACATAGTGAAACCCTGTCTCTACTAAAAATACAAAAATCAGCCAGGTGTGGTGGCATGCACGTGTAGTCTCAGCTACTTGGGAGGCTGAGGCAGGAAAATCGCTTGAACTTCGGAGGTAAAGATTGCAGTGAGTCGAGGTCGTGTCACTGCACTCCAGCCTGGGCAACAGAGTGTGACTCCATGTCAAAAAAAAAGAGAGAGAGAGAGAAAAAGGGAAGGAGCACAGAGGAAAGGGGCACATACTGAGAGAAAGCAAAATAGACATAGAAACAAAACAAAACAGAGGGCAAAAGCTTCTGAGAGAGGGACATTTAGTAGATTTCAAGAGTGTGTCAGCTGTTGTGTTCCCATAAACTGAAATTTGGTCACCCATGCATCTGTGAAATGTTGATTAGTAGATGAAACATTGCCCCTGGTTCCTCAACCATGCTTATGCTTGGGCCACAGATATTTGGATTTGAATGAGAGAGGCAAAGGAGACCACTGCAGTGAAAATTCTTATCTGTATTGCAGTGATGGAGGTCAGGGCTGTATCACATGCCGACTTGACAAGATAAGCTAGAAATGAGGGGTGGCGGGGAGGGTGGGGAGGGATAACATGGGGAGAAATGCCAGATATAGCATGCACCTCAAGTTAAATTAAAAAAAAAAAAGAAATGAGAGGTGGCTATCCTTAGATCAGAGACCCTACCTTTGCCTTTGTAAAGAAGAAATAAATTCAAGAAACAATGTTTCTAAATGTATTTTTAAATAATAAAATTAAATTATTTAATTTTAATAATTTTAATAATTAATTTTACAAATTTATTATTTAATAAAATTAATTTAAATTAAATTATTTAATTTTAATAATTTTAATAATTAATTTTACAAATCTATTATTTAATAAAATTAATTTAATTTTATTATTTACAATAAATAAAACAAATTATTATTATTCAACTATAATATTAAAACAAATACACTCTTCATATAAAAAAAAAGTTTGAATTGGATCTTTAATAAAATATGACATGCCTATTCCTTAACATATACTATACTCTATCGTCACCCCTAAGCAGCAGGTAAACAATAAGCAAGGTTTGGCTATTAGGGGTACATTTTCTTTGTCATATTACCTTTTGTTATTCTTCAGTGTATGACGACTTCAGATTATTATGCAACATCCTTTTATATCGTCCAATCATGTCTTGCATGGTTTTCTGTTGGTCTGATACCTTAATCCAGATATAAGAGCACTTTATTAAGTAACTCAACTCTTGAACGCCTTAGAACAATTGGAAGTTATTTTCGGCATAGTGGAAAGAGTCTGTGCCATGTACAACAGCTCAGGAATTTAGCAGCTATATCCCCGAACTCAGCTTTTCTAGGGCTTGCTTACACAGAAATCCCCAAACATTCCTGCGTGGTTCTTTTACAGGAAACCTGCAGATTGGTTATTCCACTGTGCTGCAATGATGGAGAGAGCTACAAATAATCACAGAAAAATCTAGAGATCTTCCTCACTAACCTAAAAATTTCTCATCCCCGCAACCTAAAAATTTCTTATTGCCTCAATATGTTTATTTAGAGTTAGTAGGAAAATTATTTCAGTGATTCAGTCAACTTAAACCAAAATGACACATTTGCCTCAACCACCTGGCTATTTTAGGAGAATTTATTTTAGGACTGAATTATTTGGACAATTATTTCAGTGCTCTGTTTTTTTATTGTGTGAATACAAAGTAAAACAGGTTTAATTGTCATCACTTTATCAGATTAACTAATGCCTTTGCTATTTTCTTTTCTCAGTGTCCTCTATTAATACAACCCTTAGAATTAACTTAGAAAATTTCAGCTTAAGCAGAATATGGCTACTTGGTTTTGCAACAGAATTGTTTATATGGAATTGAATACATCTGTGTGTCTCAGGTAAACATAAAATGGTGTGAAAGGAAAGGAAAATAAATCTTGGGACTCCCCCAAATCTCTAAGCCAAAGGGAATAGTCAAGCTGGGAACTGCATTACACAAATCCTGCCTCCCATTTTGTTTCTAAATAAGATAGTTACAAAGATAAAAAAGCTACAGGCCAGGCGAAGTGGCTCATGCCTGTAATCCCAGGACTTTGGGAAGCCAAGGCGGGTAGATCACAAGGCCAAGAGATCGAGACCATCCTGGCCAATATGGTGAAACCCTGTCTTTACTTAAAAAATACAAAAATTAGCTGGGCATGGTGGCACACACCTGTAGTCCCAGCTACTTGGGAGGCTGAGGCAGGAGAATCACTTGAACCTGGGAGGTGGAGGTTGCAGTGAGCCAAGATCGTGCCACTGCACTCCAGTCTGGTGACAGAGCAATAAATAAATGAATGAATGAATGAATAAATAAATAAATAAAAAGCTACATACCTCCCTCACAATTTGCCCTCTAGGAAATTCCTGTGGGCCCCAAGATCAAGTTCTGTTGAATTTCACCCTGACAAGGTACACTGATGGCTTATCTTCACGGGTACAGGACAAAGGACAGAACTTAAAGTCATCCCTCTACTCACCTGAGACAAATGCATTTCTGATCACTTCCTCTGCCATGTATTTATCTGTTATAAAAATGCAGATTCACTGAGCTAGAAGAATACATAAATGACTATTCCTCTACCCACCCTTGCATGTGAACTGTTAATCGAAGACTCAAAAGAATGCAACTGTTTGCCTCTTATCTACACTCATCTTTAAAAAATTCCTCCCTCTTTCCCTAATACCCACCTTTTCCCCTTTAAATATTGAAGCCCTCAAAATCATCTTTGGAGAAAGGCATAGATCTGTCTTCCAGGTGTAAATTGTCCTTAACTTTGGCTTCTAAACTTCTAAATTGATTGAGATCTGCCTCAGATACATTTTTGGTTTCCAGTGAATTACGCTGAAAATTTTACACACACATGGATATGTATTACTTGAGCTCTACTAGAAAATCTCCTTTTAAGTAAGATTTGGGGGACTTTGGTTGATTTAGTTTCTAGGTTTTAATCTTGCACTCTAAATTATCTTTTAAAAGGGGTGGAGGGTGCAATTCTAAATCTTTGGACCCTTCAAGGCCTAATGTAAAACCCATCTTAGAAGAAACTGTCTCATTGTTATCTGCACACTAATCTTTCCTGTTGGAAATTTCTGAAGAATTTTTGTTAACTTGATAAATACATTTATTTTAATAAAAATTATTTTAATGAGCTTCCTTTTAGAACCAGATCTTGTCTAACTAGTCAACCATATTGTTGATTTTTCCTCTGAAATACAGGCAGAGCTGAAAGAGTGATAACAGAAAATGCCATGTTGATTCAGACCAACGTGGCCTTACATCGAACCAAGCTGTATCTGACAGAAGCAGCAGCGGATGTTTTGGGAGTGGCTTGCTCTCATTACACCAACTTCAATGTTTAGGAAAAGTCTAAAAGATCCTGATATTCCCTAATTCACATGCTATGGAATTATCATCCAAAAATTTAACCAACTCTTTTAAATATCTGTATTTTCTAGGTGTTGTTGGTCTGATATATAAAATCAGCTTTCTTTTATTATATTATTCATACAAGGACCTCACACCTATCACTGGTTCTAGTGCTTTCGGAGTTCCTAAATCCTTTTTTCCAGTCTCTTAAGATTTTATAAACTTTATCCATATGTTCCTTTGCCTTTCAGGCTGAAAAAAATCCTACTTTTAGACTCTTCCATAATCCTGTCCTGGTGATGATTTTGGTTACTTTCCTTAGGAAGTTTCTAAGCTTTCCCATGGGTCTTGACAATGAACAATCAGATTGTAAGAATTTCTTACATTTGAATACACTGCAGCTTGTATACTGGGGCATAACTTTTTCTGATGGTGGTGGGAGAGTGTTCCAGACAGGTCACCTAGTATGATTTAAGTCCAGCACCTGGCATCTGGCACAGGACGGTTCAGAGGGTGGGACTGGCAGAACACTGAAATTCGGCACAGAGGTTACCTTGCCATGCCATGCACCCTGGCACAGGCCTGCATGCATCTAGAGGAAGGAAAACTTTTCTCTAATTGCTCTGTTCAGAGAGGCTCTTTTAATTTAATTTTATGTTTTATTTTTAAGGGTCCATAGTAGGTATACATATTTATGAGGTACCTGAGATACTTTGATATAGGCATGCAATGTATAATAATTTTGTCGTGGAAAATGAGGTATCCATCCCCTTAAGCATTTATCCTTTGTGTTACAAACAATGCAGTTATACTCTTTTAGTTATTTTTAAATGTATAATCGAATTATTATTGACTATAGTCACCCTGTTGTGTTATCAAATACTAGATCTTCCTCATTCTTTGTAACAATTTTTTTTTGTACCCATTAAACATATCCACTTTTCCTCTACTCCGTACTACCCTTCCCAGCCTCTGGTAACCAATCTTCTACTCCCTGTCTCCATGAGTTCAATTGCTTTGACTTTTAGCTCCCACAAATAAGTGAGAACATGCAAAGTTTGCCTTTCTGTGCCTGGTTTATTTCACTTAACACAACGACTTCCAGTTCCATCCAAGTTGTTGTAGATGACAGGATCTCATTTTTTTCTTATGGCTGAATAGTACTATATTGTGCATACATGCCACATTTTCTTTATCCATTCATCCGCTCATGAACACTTAGGTTGCTTCCAAATCTTGGCTATTGTGAACAGTGCTGCAACAAACATGGGAGTGTAGATATGTCCTTGATATACTGATTTCCTTTACTTGGGGGTATATCCAGCAGTTGGATTGCTGGGTCATATGGTAGCTGTATTTTTAGTTTTCTTGAGGTACCCAGAGAAGCTTCTTTTTGCTAGCTCTCTGCCTGGAGGGGTCACATTTTCTAATTTGCACCCAAGTGTCTGCTGAGCATGCCTTGGCCCTCCTCCTCCGCCATCAGCAGCAAATGAAAACCAAAGGATCAGTCTACATGACTTCTTGGTATGAAGCTGATAATTCAGATCCCATCATTTAATAATTCCAGTTTGGATTGTTTTTAATATAATGCCAGTTTTCATTGAATTTCATATTTCATCTTTCTGCTTACTCTAGTTCTTATGAGCTTTTCCAAAAGGTTTCTTTTTCTCTGCACTGATTTCATATTCAGCATCAACTTCAGTGAAATACCATCTGGAAGATTAAACCATATATTATGTGTTCCAGGTAATTTGCAATCATTGTAGAAAACATTGCTTACCATACCAATCTTTGGGCGATATCTCTTCCAACACATTTTCCTTCACCCAAAAAAAAAACTGCCCATTCTCTCTAAGCAGTTCTGTACGTATAGCAAAATGTTACCTCTAGTTCTGGGGGTACTTAAATTTTTAAAATAATTTTTGGTGTAGAATCTTAGTAATTTTTTTGAACATCTAGACAAATGGCTATTCTTCTATCTTATCTTTAAGTTTATTGATGTTCCCAAAGAGCCATTTTAGTGTGATCCTGTCTCCAGAAAACCATGCTTCCTTTTCCAGAGTAGGTTGCTTGCCTACCTTTATGAGAGATTCTATCAGACTGACACCCTGTCTGTATGGGGGAATTAGAATCTCAGGCAGCTCTATCCAGTGAAAATGTCTGCAATGATGGAAATGTTCTATATTTGTGCTCCCTAATAGGGCAAGCACCAGCCACATGTGTAATGTGACTGAGGTGCTGAATTTTTAATTAAATTTTAATTTTAATAGCCATTTGTGGTAAGTGACTACTTAATTGAATAGCACAGGTCCAAGGCCTTCTCTGGAACCCTTTTCATGAACAGACATCATGCCAAGTCCCTCCTTCACACTGACTGCTTGTAACAAAATGCTGCTGCTTCTTGTCAGCAGTCCCATAGCTTCGCCCCCAAGTTCTTGTGAAATTATCTTATGTGTTACATAAATTTTTCTGACCCTGAATTTTTATTAGTAAATATTACAGTTTTGTTTTGTTCTCCTTAGATAAGGCCTTGCTCTGTCATTCAGGCTGGAGTGCAGTGGTGTGATCACAGCTCACAGTAGCCTCAGCCTCCTGGGTTTAGGTGATTCTCCCACCTCAGCCTCCCAGGTAGCTGAAACTACAAGCACACGCCATGAAGCCCAGCTAATTGTTTAATTTTTTGTAGAGATGGGGTTTCACCATGTTGCACAGGCTGGTCTCAAACTCCTGTGCTTAAGCAATCCACGTGCCTTGGCCTCCCAAAGTGCTAGGATTACAGGCATGAGCCGTTGCACCCAGCCCCACTTTGATCTTTCTAATAAATGACTACTCAACTGTTTAAGACTACAAATCAGCTTGATGAATAGTAAGGGATCTTAAATATTACTGTCTTTGGTATGCTGGGGTCAGTCGGGCTTGTCAGAGAGTCTATAGGCTGGGGAGTCTTCCAGTGTTCCCATCTTTCTCATCTTCCTCAGAATAAAATCCAAAGTCATTCTGTGTCCTCTCAGGTCTTACGTGATAGGCCCTGTTCCACCTCTCCAACTCATCCTCTGCCGTTCTCTCCCTCATCCTTTCTGCTCCAGCCACTCTGGTCCCCCTGCTGTTTTCCAAACCAAGAAGCAAACTCCACCTCCAAGCTCATCCCCACCTGAGGGTACCTACAATCACAGACCACCTCCTGCCCCTGCATAGTTAGCTTCTATTCCTTTCCTTTGCTTTATGTTTTTTCTTATTACTTATCCCACCCAACATAAGATTCATTATTTATTATTTGTCTCCTCTTATAGAATATAAGCTTCATGATGGCAGGGACTTTGCGTTGTAGCAAGCATGAAACAGCGCCTGCCTCTTAGTAGGCCCTCAGTAATATCTTTTTGAATGAATAAATGATACATGTTTTGTACTTATTTTATAAGGTTGAATCACTCACCTTTCTATATCTGAGTTTAAAGGAGAGAAATTGTACCTTATTAAATTACCCCTTAAGAATGTTAGGAAAGGCTGGGTGCACTGGCTCATGCCTTTCCTAATTTTGGGAGGCCAAGGCAGGCGGATCACCTGAGGTTAGGAGTTCAAGACCAGCCTGGCCAATATGGTGAAACCTCATCTCTCTAAAAATACAAAAATTAGTCAGGTGTGGTGGTGGGTGCCTATAATTCCAGCTACTCAGAAGGCTAAGGCAGGAGAATCACTTGAACCCAGGGGGCAGTGGTTGCAGTGAGCTGAGATCACGATGCTTCACTCCAGCCTAGGTGACAAGAGACTCTGTCTAAAAAAAAAAAAAGTTAGGAAGATAATTAATGTTATTCAGATTTGACCTGCTGGAGGACAAACTATTCTAAAACTCAAGTTTTTTATTTTATTGAAATAATCCCAAGCCATACATTCATACAACTAAAATGAATATAGAAGAATGGCATACAACTATAATAGAAATTGTATAAGAACCAGTAAACTTCAAAATGAGATAATGCAGGGCACAATAGCTCATGCCTTTAATCCTAGCACTTTGGGAGGCCTTAAGCAGGTGGATCACCTGAGGTGAGGAGTTTGAAACTGGCCTGGCCAACATGGTAAAACCCTGTTTCTCCTAAAAACACAAAAATTAGCCAGGCATGGTGGCGAATGCCTGTGGTCTCAGCTACTCAGAAGGCTGAGGCAGGAGAATTGCTCGAACTCAGGAGGCAGAGGTTGCAGTGAGATCATGCCACTGCACTCCAGTCTGGGTGACAGAGCAAGACTCCATCTCAAAAAAAAAAAAAAAAAAAGAGAGATAATTCTTATGCTGATGCTTACAAATCATTCCTTATATTTAGATTGTGAAGATTAAGAAGGGAAGAGACTTGCACATAGACCAAGGGTGTTAATGGAAGGCAGAGGGAAAGTTCAAATCTTTAACGCGTCTTTGCATTCAAGTTCTTGGTCGCAGCACAGGGAAAGTGTCCTTCAATCCAGGTATTCCACAGTGCCATAAATTAAGGGTCATTTAATCAAAACTTCTGCTACACTTTAAATGTTTGTCCCTTCTAAAACTCATGTTAAAATTTAATTGTCATTGTAATGGTATTAAAAGGTATGACCCATAGAGGTGAGTAGGCATTAAACCACCCCCATGGGTCAGTTTAATTCCTTTTGCAAAAAGGGGTTTTAGGAATGGGTTCTCTTTCTTGGCTCCTTTGCTCTTCTGCCATTTGAGGAAAAATGTTCCTCCCTTCTGGGTAATGCAACATTTAAGGCGCCATCTTGGAAGTGATAATCCAGACCTTTCCAGGCACCAAACCTACCAGCACCTTGATCTTGAACTCCCAGCCTCCAGAACTATGAGAAATAAATTTCTGTTGTTTATCAATTACCCTATTTCTGGTATTCTATTATAGCTGTACAAAACAAACTAGACACCTTCCCTGTCCCCTGGGAAACCCACATTTACCACTTTAGGCAGTTAAAAAGTTAGTTTTTATTCTCTTTTTCATGTTAATTTTTAATGATGGGAAGGAAATTTTATGGCAGCAGATGTTAACTAACTCACTTCAATGTTTGCAAACTTTGAGAGCCATAAACTTATTTTTAAACTTTCCATCAGCTGGGGATACATTTATCTGCAAGTAACAGAAATCTTAACTGAAAATGGCATTTATAATAAGCACATTTACAGGCTTACATGTGGAAAATCCTGAGGATGAATGGGAAATAGAGTTAAATTATCCTGTAGTTCAATAATAATATCATCAAAAATATAAGTTCTATCTTTGTCTTTCATCATCCACTTCATCCAAAAGCTTGTTCCCCTCATAGTTGTAGATTGGGTGCCAGCAGCAATCAAGGTTGGACATGTGCTTATTTTTGCAAACAAGATCTGATCTCTCCGAGATCAGATCCTCTCCCTCAAACTCAAAACAAAAATCTTTCTTGATTGAGCCTATCATATGCCATCTCTGAACCTAATTATCACCAGGAAAATGCTTTGTGCTGATTGGTTTAAGCCTAGGTATGCTAATCACTGGCAAAAGGGATGGGATGGTTACGACTGGTTTAGGCCAAAGGTCAGCAAATTGTAGATCCAGGCCAAATCCTGCTTGCCAGCTGTTTGGGGGAAGTTTTATCAAAACACAGCTATGTCTTCCTTTACATATTGTTTATGGCTACTTTTACTGCAACGACAGAATTCAATAGCTCCAACAAAGACCATGAAGCACCAAAGCCTCTACTATTTACTCTCCAGCCCTTTACAAAAAAAGTTTGCCAAGCCCTGGTTTACATTAACGTGGGTCTACTTCAGCCCTGTGTTTAATTCCCTCAACTATGATCCTCCTACACAGAGAAGGAAAGTTTGGACTCCATGTGGATCTCCTCCCATGTCAACCGAAGGTTATTTTTTTCTTTGGTTCTTTCCTAAGCAAAGCTGAAAAAGAACTGAGCACACAAGTTTCAGAATGAAAGCCTTTACTTTCAAAAGCCCATTGACTCCACCCATATTTCTGTCTTTCAGAGTGATGAGTATCCGTTCCTGACATTGATCTGTGTTCCAACCTTGGCTGTATATTGTTTTGTTGGATTAACTTGAAGTTATTTTTTAATTCCATGGAACCAGACTATCCAAACCATCTGCCAGATCTTCAACCCACCAACAGAGTTAGATGGAATTCCCCAGAGTCCTGCTGCAGTCATAGAAGAAACATCAGCCCTAAAAGCAGGGCACTGCTTTGCAATGCCTGGTCAGCCACAGGCAGAATGGCTCCTCTCCACGTTCACATTAATGATTTTCTTTTTTTCTCTTTATTTTTTTGAGTTGGAGTACTGCTCTGTCGCCCAGGCTGGAGTGCAATGGCATAATATTGGTTCACTGCAACCTCCGCCTCCCAGGTTCAAGCGATTCTCCTGCCTCAGCCTCCCTAGTAGCTGGGATTACAGGCATGCACCACCACGCCCTGCTAATTTTTGTATTTTTAGTAGAGACAGGGTTTCACCATGTTGGCCAGGCTGGTATCTAATGTCTGACCTCAGCTGATCCACCCACCTCAGCCTCTAGCAGTGCTGGGATTACAGGCGTGAGCCACTGTGCCCAGCCTCACATCAATGATTTTCCAGGTAGGTAAGTGATTTCCTGTCCAAACAGCAATCTAACCTATCTTTTAAAAATAGCTTTTCTCATTTATTTTTATTATGAAAAGAGCAATGCATGTCCATTGTAGAAACATTAGAAACACAGACAACCAAAGGACAAAAAAAAAGAAAACTTGTCACCTTCCCACATTCCCAGGAAACTTTAAAAGTAAACAGTATGTTCTAGAGATGCAGTCTTCCCTCCAAATGGTCTGAACTAGCTTTGACTTTTCCAGCGGGAAGTCAAAATGGAAGACTTTATTTTTTAGCTCCTACATTCATGAAGTTACTAAATGGGCCTATTCTTTGACTAGCCTTTCCAAGAGTGTTTATTAAATCGTGAACTTTCTGTATAAGAAATTTATGGAAAACGGCAGGATTTGAGAAGTTGCTGTTTTGAATAACTTATTGTTACGTACATCTTTTAGAGTCTTACGTACATCTCTTTCAAACAAGAAAGAGAACCTATTTCTCTTCATTTGGACTAGTACATCCAATTCTATCTCATTTTGTAAATAAAAGGGTGCCAACTTTTATGAAATATAGGGTTGGGAAAGTATGCTCAGCTTCACAAATCCTCACTTAGGCACACCTGTGGGTTTACTAATGCTTATTATAGAAACCACTTGAAAATGCCCCGACGCTGGTTTGTTTTCAAGACATCAAATGGGAACAACATTAGTTTTAGGGCTAGAATTGACTATAGGCTGGGATTTAGTATCTTCCAGGTCCTGCAGTGATCTGAGTGTAGGATTTGGGCCAACGCTGTAATTTTAACCAGGCATTACTTCAGAGAGCGGTGTTTTTCCCCTGCTCCAAGCACCCACCCCACATCCGTTATTTTTTTGATGGAGTCTACACAGTACAGCTGACACCATGGGTTGTAATGAACTTGACCATTCTTATCCTAAGGATAATTCTGTTTTAAAAAAGTATGAGCTTCTGAATACCTGGAAGAGAAGTGAACGAGGTTAAAAGCATGCTGGCTCTGGAACCCAGGCTGTCTGAATTTGAATCCTAGCTTCATCCTTACAGGCAAGGGATCTTCGGCGAGGTCCTTGACTTCTCTAGGTCTCATTTTCTTCATGGATACAGTATTTCATAGTGTTGGCTGCTGTGAAGGAGAAGGCAACACATGGGCTACAAACTTAAGCCCAAAATACTATGTAAGTATTAGCCCTACCATTATGGGGGAGCGGGGAGGGGGAGTCACGTCCAGAATGGGGAAGCTGGGAGCTCTGAAATGCACCTCTCTTCACAACATCACCTGCTGCATAATCCATATTTACAAGGTTCCAACTACCCAGAACTGCACAATTCATGACTAGACTTTCTGCATCAGGCTGACTCTGTGAAAGCAGGGGTGGGTGGCGTGGGTGGCGTGGGTGGGGTGGCTGGAGTGTTGTCTTTCAGTCAAGTAATTTTTTCCTTAAACAGATTTTTTTTTTCACAGCTATAAATTTACAGAAGATTGAGAATAAAACTGAATTCCCACACACGGCACATTCAGTTTTCCCCATTACTAGGGGAATTATTAGCATGCCACATTAGGAAGGTACATTTGTTACCATTAATCAACCAATATCGGCACATGATTATTAAAGTTTATATTCTCTTCATACATTCTTCAGTTTTTACCCAATGTCCTTTTTCTGCTCTAGGGTTCCATCCAGGATATCACCCTACACTTTCTTGTCACCTTAGACTCCTCGTGGCTGTGACAGCTTCTCAGACTGTCCGTGTTTTTGATGGCCTTGATAATTTGGAAGAGGAATGGTCAGGCATTTCGTAGAACACCCCTCAGTTGGGATGCGTCTGATATTTTTCTCATCATTATAATGGAACGGGGTTACTGGTTTTGGGAGGAAGACCACAGAGGCAAGTGCCATTTTCATTTCATTGTGTCAAGAGTGCATGTTATCAGGGTGACTTCTCACTGTTGGGGTGACTCTGGAGCCCCCGGGTGAAGCAGAGTTTGTCATGTTGTCCACAGTAACGTCCCTCTCCCCGCCCTTTTTCATACTGTGCTCTGAGGGGAAGTGGCTCTGTGCTGCCCACACTTAAGGAGTGGGAGTTACCCTGCACCTCCTTCAGGACAGAATAGCTACAGAGGTCATTTGCCATTCTTCTATGGGAGCTCTGTCTTTTCCCCTCAAGTAAGTTTTCCCATCCAGTCTTTGCTTGAATGAATTATTTTACTTTCACTGAACACTGGCCAAAAAATAGCATGAAGCTGATTCCCCCAGATTGATGGAATTTTCTGTTGAGTGCCACAGTTGGCAGATCTGGAATTAGTAATTCCTTGCTAACCCTATATGGAAAGACCCAAAAATGAATAAGGACTTAAAAATAAAATGAGTGGGATGGTCAAAACCAATATAAATGAATCGCTGTGAGCCAAATGGAAAATCATCCTTTGGCAAGTTCCAACCAGTTACCTCTGCATGTCCTGAGAATGTGCTTTCAGTGTTCCAGGACACTGGGCACCCTTTGGAGGCATGCATCCTGCCCCTCCCCCAAAAGGAGGCAATCTCTATGCCTCCCTTAAAACACACATGCTCAGACTGTCCTAGCATTCCCATGCTCTTAAAAATCACCCCCCCCCACACACACACATCCTTTTATTTATGTATTTATTTAGAATAAAAGCCATGTCTTACTTAGAATAATTTGCTGGGTAGCCAAAAATCCACTTGAACATTTTCTTAGAGAGACTCCTTCCTTGTAAAACTAAAAAGTATATGCTTTGGGGTTGTGCATTTGAAAGAAAATGGGAGAAGATTATTGTTGGATCAGCCTGTAAAGTTTCTACATCTGTTTGGTCAAACAGTAGCTACCATTATCTTCATTCTATCAGTATATATATATTTTTCTCTGAAAGCAATTCAAAATTTGCTCCCCATACATGAAACTCACAGACATACATTTCTCCAAAGTTTACCTTGAGATGGAAAGGCCTCTAATGTGCCAGCAGGTTCCCTGCACCCACCCCCTCCTTGGGTCGGGCACAGCCTAGTTGCAGCATTCCACGGCGCTGACACATCTCCTTGGAAACCTACCCATTGCCTGGTATATAGCAACCTGCATTCCCCAGTGGCAGAGGCCTTGATTCCTGTCTTATCCTGTTCTTCTGTGCTTTCACACACATCTGAGGACAGGCCTTCCTTTTGATCTATTATCTCAGGCCATTAAAATGAGCAGAAAGAAAAAAAGCCCTTGAACAGTGCCAGTGTAATTGTGGCGAAGATTCTTAAAAAGAATTATCATGGCCATTTCAGAGCCTCCTCAATTTCCCCATTTCCTGTAAATGCAGCAAATGGAGAACTGCCAGAAAGTTCAGGGAAGAAGACGTTGGGCTTGCGAGTGGTTTCTGGCCAACTAAACCCCTGCTGACAGTATTTTTCTAAAGGATGGCACTTCGTTTCCAGATTAGGCACACTCACACCTTCATTTATTTCGGATCTCGTTCATTCTTAACCGTTATTTTTATTCAGCACTACAGTTAATACAGACAGTATAAGTCAAAGTTTTGCTCACCCTTTGCTCACTTGGGAATTTTAGAAATCTTTATTTTTTAAAATGAGATTATTCATATGAGCTTGTATTCTTGAGATATTTTTTCTTTTTAATTAACTAAACTGCTCGGCGGGATTGGGGGTGGAGGGGAGGGATCCAGCCAATCTAAGGGCTTTGATTAATGTTTTATAGGTATGTAGTGTACCTATAGAGGTACACCAAAAGAATACCAATTTGCAGAATGCATATGCAACCACAAAAGGAAATGCAGTAATCTGATATTTGGTTAGATTAAATCAGATATCCCTATTTAAACCACTGGCTTTACAGAAATTACTCAAGTGTACTTCATCAACCCCAAGCATGTACGCTAGGGTTCATGTGGGATTTAAACCCACCTTTTTGCATCAAGGAGTCTCATCAAGTGTCTGTCACGTGTCTATGTGCAGGATGCAAAGAGCCGGGGCATCCATGGGTCACGATGTGTCATTCATGGCCTATTGGCTGCCAGTGAACAAAAATTTCATTAGGCTTTATTTGAGAAATAAAACTTCAGAACAATGTACTGAAGTGGCTTCAACTAGGACAGGATTGAGAGAAAAGTGTGATTACTTAACCAAATAAATTATCTAGTAAAACACCTCCCTCAGCTCCTCACTACTGTGACCCCATCTAGATGGTGCCATTTTAATCAACTGTACTTCTTCCACAACCTGTTTCGAGCACCCCATCTCTAATCACCACTGCTGATTCTTGAGTGCTCAGACTTTAATAATACCTCCACCCTGGAGCCACGATCCATTGAACCTGCCACCTTTGCCCTTCTCCCATCTTCCCTTACCATCGCAGCCCTCCTAACCCATTTTAAATTCCATGGTCAGTCATTAGAGTCCGTCCTTCACACACACCCACAACTTGCTGCCTCACTTTGAATTCATGTTCATTAACTTCAAGGGGTTCTTAAGACACCTGGCCATCAGATCCATTTCCCAAACACATTGCTCTCCTGTTCTCAAGACCATTTCACACTTTCCCTTTTTCTTCAAGCCTTCCACATCTCCTTTCTCATGTCACTCTCTGCTAATGACTTATTTCCTAAGACACTTATTTCCTAAGACTTATTTCCTAAGGAAATAAGACACTTATTTCCTTCTACTGCCACATCCCACAATTTGCCTACCTCCACCTTCCCCACCATTACGTAGCCCATCTCAGGCAAACAGGAGGGCCCCTCCCTCACCCTCATCAAGGACAGCACTCAGGGATTCACTACCTGCATCATTGGTTTTTCTCTCTTCCAGGATATTGCCTACCTACCTACAAACATGCTGTTGGTTTTTCCCATCTTGAAAAAACAAAACAGGCTGGGTGCACCGGCTCATGCCTGTAAACCCAGCACTTTGGGATGCTGGGGAGGGCAGACCATGTGGTCAGGAGTTCGAGACCAGCCTGACCAATATGGTGAAACCCCATCTCTACTAAAAATACAAAAATTAGCTGGGTGTGGTAGCGTGTGCCTGTAATCCCAGCTACTCAGGAGGCCGAGGCAGGAGAATCTCTTGAACCTGGGAGGCAGAGGTTGCAGTGAGCTGAGATCACACCATTGAGTGACAGAACAAGACTCCGTCTCAAAAAAAAAAAAAAAAAAAAAAAAAACTGCCTCGAACCCATGCTATACTTCAGCTTCTGCCCTACTTTCCTGCTCCCCTCCATGGCAATTAGGTTTTTGCCTCCACTATTCCAGTGAAACTGCCTATACCCAGGTTTCCAGGGCCTTCCATGTTGTAAACTCAATGGTCAATTCTCAGCCATAATCTCCTTGGCTCTATCGGCATCATTTAACATAACTGATCATTTCTTTCTCCTTAAAACACTTTCTTTTCTTGGTTTCCAAGACATTGTGCTCATGAGGCATCTCCTTCTCAGTCTACTTTGCTGAATCCTTCTCTCGACCTCTTCACATAGGAGTGGCCTCTTACTGTAGAAGCAGCACTGGAAGCTCAGGCCTTCAATCTCTTTTATGTCTATGTTCAATCCTTTGGTTTTCCCACCTAGTTTCAACGCTTTAAGCATATCTGCTGATGACTTTCAAATTTATGTCTTCAGCCTGCTTGCACAGCTGTCCTGAACACAACGGTCATTCATCCAACTGCATAATCAAAATCTCCATTTAGATGGATAATTAATATCACCAATATAATAGACACAAAGCTGAACTCCTGCAGTTCTGTGACCCTAGACGTCTCCTGCCTCGGTCTTCCCTATCCTTGTTCAGTCCAAGCATCTTAAAGTCATTCTTGACTCTTTTCTGTCACAGCAAATCTTGCTGTCTTACTCTGCTTTCAGATCATAATCAGAATTGGGTCACTTCTCATCAGCCTCCACTGCAATCACCTTGACTCCAGCCCCCCTTGTCTTTGCGTGGGTTACTGTCATTGCATCCCCTCTCTCTCCCTATTTTTGCCCTTGTCTCACTTTGGTCTACCTTTAACACAACTGCCAGACAGCTCCTATTATAGTATGACTCAGGTCATGTCATTCCTTGTTATAGAGGCATCCAGGGCATTCTATCTCACTCTGAGCAAAAGCCAGTCTTTGTAACAGCATCAAAGCTAACACTACGCGTCCTGCCCCACCTCCCACCCCATGAGTCTCACTGTCCTCCTTCTCACACAGCCCAGCCATGGGCCACTTCTACTGCCGGACCTTTGCCCTTGCTGGTGCCTCTACCTGGAACGTGCTTTCTCTAGATATCTATGTGGATCCAGTCTTCAATCAAGTGCCATTTCCTTAAAGGGGTTTTCTCTACCACCTTGTATAAATTTGCAAGCTCACCCTACCCCCAAACATGTTCTTCCCAACTTTATTTTTTCCCAACTTTATTTTTCTTCACAGAACTTTCTCCGCTACTAGACATTGGTATGCAACTTAGGGGCAGTATAACAGGGAGGTGGAGATATGGGTAGGTCCTAGAGTCAGTTTGCCTGAGTTCAAAGCTTGACTGTTCATGTACCAGGTACTCAAGATGGAATCTCTCTATTCTTCACTTTGAGAATAACAATAGTACCCATTTCGTCAGGTTGCTGGCTTAATATTTGTAAAGTGCTTAGAACAGCATCTGGACCATATTAAGGGCTACATGATTAGCTAACACTGTATATATTTCATCTATCTTTTTTTTTTATTTTATCCTGCCTCCCCCCACTGGAATAAGAGTTTCATAAGGACAGGCATTTTTGTCTGTTCTGTATGCCACTATAGCCTCATCACATAGGACAGAGCCTCACATAGAGCTGCTTCTCACCACATAGTTGTAGAACGGCAGGTCATTGTAGCTTCTTAGGTACTCAAGAGTCAGTAAGGAAAACTTGCTAAAAATTTTCTTAATATAATGATGTGCACTTTAACAAAAACTAGAGTTCTGTTGCAGACATTGGCACTGGCCTAGATAAATCTGTTAATCATTCACAGACGGCAAGCCTCTTCTAGATTATTTCCGAAAGTCACAGAAAAGACTGTCAGAATGCTAGGTGGGCATGTGCCCATCCTATTTTACTACTAGGTCAATAGCTATCAAAAATATAATTTTCTTTTTTGAGACAGAGTCTCGCTGTGTTGCCTAGGCTGGAGTGTGGTGGTATGATCTTGGCTCACCGCAACATCCGCCACCCGGGTTCAAATGATTCTCCTGCCTCAGCCTTCTGAGTAGCTGGGATTACAGGCACACACCACCATGCCCTGCTAATTTTTGCATTTTTAGTAGAGATTGGGTTTCACCATGTTGGTCAGGCTGGTCTTGAACTCCTGACCTCGTGGTCCACCCTCCTTGGCCTCCCAAAGTGCTGGGATTACGGGCACGAGCCACCACACTGGCCCAAAATAATTTTTTTTAATAAAAGGGATCTAACTGAGGTGTACTAATCATAAATCAAAACCTCTCTTCCTTTGAGCTGGAGCTGCAAGGAAAAAATAAATAAATATCAAAAAAATAAAAAACACAAAACCTCTCTCAGTGTTTTCTGACCAGAGTATTCTTCACAGTGCCACTTTAGGAGTGTAAATATCCATAGAGTACTCTGTGGCCCCCAGTCAAATGGGATCCAAAAATATAGGACACGATTATTCTGTGCCATCTCCTGAGCTCCAGGAAAAGAGACTCAGAAGCGTAAGCTTAAGAGTTCATATCTTTCAACTCACTGAAATAGCATTGTTTCGGTTGTTGTTACTGTTTTGTTTTCATAAAAACAAACCCAGCACCAAGTCCTGGCTGAAAAGTCAGGGTCTAAGTCCTTGCTGTTCAGTTTGTGTTCTTTTTGGTACGATACACACTTGGAGCAGGCTTGGGTCTGAGAGCAACCCCAAAACTACCATTTCTGATATGCAATTTGATAAGGATGGAGGCAGATGGAATTCTCTTTTAAGAAGTGGTCTTTAAGAATTGAGTTTTGCCTCTTCCATTTTCAAGACTAAAAGGCTTAACTGAAAAGATAGTGAAGGCTCCGCCCAATCCAGCCATTCATAGGTGAACACATGCCTCGGGCTCTCTTTCTTCCTTTGGCAAAAGTCTGATTCTGTAGCCTCTGGCCATGTTCAGGAGGCAGGGCACTCCCTTGGGAACCACACCCGCCTTCATCACGCAGTGAGCACACCAAACAGGTTCGCCTGGCTAGACGGTGGCTGAGGTGTCTGCGGCAGAGGGAAGTACAGTCATGCACACGCCCGATGACGGAGCCACCGATGGACACCTCCACATGAAGGAAGCAATTGCTCTGCTATCCCCTGGCTTAAAATAAACAGAGTAACTGCACAAAGGTGGATTTCCTGTGCAAGGAGAGCAGGGCTCATTGGGCCCCTCCCCAGCCCTGTGCTTACTTTTGCAATTGTATTTTATTTTTTAAAGAGGACTCTCATATTGCACAAGCCTCAGGCCCCTCAAAAACTTGTTTGCCATGACTATACTAAATTTTGTACATTGTTTCATATACTTACATGTTTATGTGAACTACTTTATAAGGTTGTGTTGTGCCCATTTACAGGAAACACAGGCAAGGTTGAGAGATAACCTGAGGTCACACAGCTAAATTGTCCATGAACTGTGGCCACTCAGTAGGGCCTAAGGGTTAATTGAACTTGTTTTGATGTCTTTAGGTATTTTTACTGGTTGTCCTGATTTCAAATGCATCTCCCACATTAAAAGACCTGGCTCTCTTTTATTTTATGCTCATGGAACCGTTCAGAACAAATGTGCCAAATCCTAGCAGTAGAGGGTATTGATGAACCCAAGGAAGCCCAGCCCATTCTACCATCTCTCAGCCTGTTCACATCTATAAAGAGAAATTGCCGTTTAGGCCTGTAATCCCAGCTGTCCAGGAGCCTGAAGCAGGAGAATCGCTGGAACCCAAGAGGCAGAGGCTGCAATGAGCCAAGATGGCGCCACTGCACTCCAACCTAGGTGACAGGTTGACACCGTCTCAAAAAAAAAGAAATTGCCATTT